AAAAAAAAAAGAACTACAAATACACAGCTTCACAGCACAAAGAATGATTTTTCGACCAAAAAAAAGAATCAGTTCTAGACGATCAGCACTCGACGAAATTCAAAATCTCTCACTAGGCGGTAAAATTTTCCGAAACTTCACATACAACAAGGGACGAAAGACTAGGATCGACGGCCCCAGTGATAACTGCCCCCATTCTTTTAACACACAACAAATATCCCAAGGCACTTTCCGTAATAGCTTCACCCGGTACTAAAACCGGAATCCCAGGCGGATAAGGACATATCAGCTCCCCACATATTTTACCAAGACACTCGTCGAGTCCAACTTTTCTTTTACGCGCAAAAAATGCATCTCTAGGACTCAAAACCATGTTTATATCATTAAAGAAAACTATGTTCGTGTCATCACTAGCTTTTCTTGCCAAGCCACCAAACGTAGCCGACAGATGCTCCAATCCCGAAATGAGTCTCGAAACATGTTCTCTCTTTGTCCCAAGGTTAAAAGTTAAAGTAATAGACCGAGTCCCGACAAGTTCGGAAATTACCTTAAAGTCCTTGAATAAAATATCGTCCGCTTCAAAGCCTGAAAGACCAAGATCTTGGACGCCAACCGTGACTCTAAAAGGATCCATATCACGAAATTTAGGAAAATTCGTAATGTCAAATAGTGAAATCTTGGGAATTTTACTAATCATAGATTTTGCCTCGAGAGCTAGCTCAATAGCTTTGTCGAAAATAGTTTCTGGGTTATCACTAAGTTGAGCCGTGGCAGCATCCAGTGAGGCTAACAGCAAATAACTCGGGCTGCTGCTTTGGAGCATTTGAAGGGACCTGCAAATTTTTTCTCTATCCACAAGTTTACTGGACAAATGTAGCATTGATGACTGCGTGAGAGAGGATAAAACTTTGTGGGTCGACTGGATGACAATATCTGCCCCTTGAGCGAGAGCTGAGGTTGGGAGGCAAGGGTGGAAGCCAAAGTGGGCCCCGTGAGCCTCATCAACAATTACAGGAATCTTTTTATCATGGCATAGCTTAGAAATTGCAGCAATATCACTGCATATACCGTGGTAACTAGGAGATACGATTAAAACAGCAGCTGGTTTTCGGTTTTCCTTCTGTAGCTCGTCTATTGCTTCATCTACCTGTTAAATAACAGCAAATATGGAATTTTCTGAGGTAAGAAAATGCAGAAAGTATGGAAAAAAAAAAAAAGAATCATTTCAAACTACCCTTGATAAAGTATTAAGAAAAAAGACCCAAAGTCTTCATACATAGCCAGACTATAGACATGATGTAAAAAGAAAAAAAGGGAAAAAACGAAGAAGAAGATCTGTATATGCACTTGCCTGAGAAAGTGTGATGCCACCGGCAATGTCCCACAAAGGATCATACTCAGGCAGTATGTACTTGGGTGTCACACCAGATAAAACCATGGCAGATATTGCCGAAATATGGCAATTCCGAGGGAGCACGAGAGTATCTCCAGGCGAACATGCTGCCATTATTGCAGCTTGGATCCCACATGTACTGCCGCCTACAAGAAACCATGTCTCTGAAGCTCCGAATAAATCGGCCGCCTGTTTTTGGGCTTCCAAAATAGGTCCCTCAGGTGAAAAAAGATTGTCGAGCTCTGGGAGTTCGGGCAGGTCATGCATAAATGGTCTTCGGCCAATTAGACTGGTCAATGATGAAGGAGCTGCCTGTCCTCGGTTATGTCCTGGGAAGTGAAAGCTGGCTGCATTTTCATCTGCCGAGGCTTTTAGCGCGTTAATCAGAGGATGGCATTTGGTGTTCTTGAGTTTTTCAAAATCATTCTTGAGGCCATTGTCTGGCTTGTCAAATTCTATGGCTTTTTCTTCGTGCAGTCTCTTCCCCTGCTCTTTCCTTATTGCTGCTTGGGAAGTTTTCTGCAAACGCGAAATAAAAATGGTGAAGCTGTTTTCACGTGATTTGAGTTGTGATACAATGGTATCTAATATAATCTGTAATTTAATAGGCAGATAACATCTATCAATCACTCCTCCTAGACTCAATGACTTGCACGATACCAATCGGCAGTGAAGAACGGATCAAAGACCTTTGCAGTTATATTGCTCCAGAAGACATAGTTAGAAGTTCCATCAGTGGAGTAAACAATTAGATTTTTCAAAGGACAGTTAGCTGCATACACATTCATCTCGATGTACATCTTCTCTATCATTCATTGAAGTTACAAGAATACGGCGTTAAAGCCATAACTGCACACGGTTGAAATCATAGGTTTCATAATCGTATCACACAGTACAATGGTGTTAAAATACAGCCTACCTCTACATTCCCTTCTTTTAGACGAACACTGTCTGAACAATCAGATGTCATAAAAATACAAGATCTAATCATCCAATACAATGGAATAATGAGTGGTATAGGATTCTGGGTAAAGAAACATCGATATATAGGGAACGCAGGCATGTAGTGTACGAACGCCTCAAAATCGAGTTAGTTTGCATTACTATCCACTAAAGTCTACCAAACTGCACCGAGATAGAACCTCCCAATTCACAAATTTCACCATCATCTCTTCATAAATTTGAGTATATATGTCACACTACAGAGCTATATTGTTGTTAAGAGTTCAAAATGTTCGTTTCCCATTTAGGAGCTATCGAGCTTTTTTCCGGGCACTAACAGAGAACAAGTAGTAAACAGAAAAGCACGAGCTAAAAGAAAATTTGATAGAGCAGATAAAAAAGAGCAATTTGTTCATTTTCTTGAGAAACCCACCTGGGAAATACAAGCTCTTGGTTCTGTACTCAGTCTGAAACTCCAGTTATTTCCTTTACTCAGAGTCAAGCTCTGCAAAACAAATAGAAGAAGAAGAAGAAGAAGAAGAAGAAGAAGAAAGACAGAAACTTTGTCTATGTTAACAGAAAATTCGATTGAGCAGATAAATTGAACAATTTGTTCACTTTCTTGAGAAACCCACCTGGGAAATACAATCTATTGGCGCCGTACGCAGCTTGTAACTCCAGTTATTGCCATTACTCAGACTCAAGCTCTGCAAACGAATAAAAGAAGAAGAAAGAAAGAAAAAAAAAAAAAGAAAAAAAAAAACAAAGATGGACGATAAAGCTGTAGTTAATAATAACAGTAAAATTTTGGTTTTTCGGGTGTTGAATACGGTAGAGAGGTCGTGACTCGTGAGTGAGAGAGGCCTTACACACCATATCCAAGATGAAGACCCTGCAGGCCGCGTCTCAGGAAGAAGAAACGTTTTCGAAACAATTATTTATTTAAAAAAAAAAAAGAAAAAAAGAAGTAGACAAAAATAAAAAAAAATGTGTGGACAAAAATCAAATACACGTATTCCAGGAATACGTTTTTCATATGAAAACGTATTACGAGAATACGTGTTAGCTTTTAAAACATACTCTAAGAATACGTTTTAGTAAAATAACGTAATTAAGATAATTAATCTCAATTAACATAAATAAAAACGTATTCAAAACATACAATTTAAATAAAAACGTTAACGTATTCAAAAAGTACGTTTTCTTTTGTTAAACGTATACACAGAATACGTTTTTATTTAAAACGTATGTTTTGAATACGTTTTTGTATTAAAACGTATACACAGAATACGTTTTTATTTAAAACGTATGTTTTGAATACGTTTTTGTATTAAAATTTATTTATTTTAATTTTCGGAAAAAGTTAAAGGTATTGTGAAAATACGTTTTTAATTCTACAACGTATTACAGGAATACGTTTTTGGTAAAAAAAAAAAATAATAATAAACATATTCAATGAACCAACCTGTCCAATATACATCTGTTCAACCAACTCATATATATCAATTTGGCAACAAATAATTGAACATACATTATATAAAAAACAATCAACCACAATGCAATATTCAAGAAACACAATATAAAACGTAAAAGGTCAAAATACGGTTTTTAAATACAAAACAAATATGTCTGCAAAGTTCAAACTACAAAATACACAAACTAACTAGGAAGGAGTATATGTATCCGGAGGTCTACGCTGTCGGGACCCCTTCCTAGGAGGCCTTTGTCCTGAAGACGAGGATGCGGTCGGGATAGGTGTGGCAACTTCTTCTTCTTGATCTGAGTAATTAATTTTTTAAACAAATTAGAAATTTGACTGAACAAAATAAAAAAAAAAAAATAATATAAAAAAATACACTTTTTCATGAAAAAAATTATCACCTTCTTCGTCGTCCTCATACGCAGTGTTGGCAGCGGGTTCACGGGCACGGCGTCTTCGACCTCCACCAATGTTGCCAGACGGTCGATGCCTCGCCCGATGTGACTATGTGGCCTGGGAAGGGACGTAGTCTTCTTGAGATAGAAGTTGACTAGACGACGCCCCTTGTATGACCTGTTGGCCTCCAACAGTCATAC